CCCGTGCCGGGACGGGGAGGCCGTAACGGTACCCGTAACAGGATGGGGAGCCGGGACCGGCATAGGGCGGCCTGTACGGGGATGGGGGACCTGGTACCAGCAGCCGTACTGGGACGGGGGGCCGGTACCGGCACGAAGGACCTGTGCCGGCACCTGTACTGGGATGTGCACCCGGTACCAGCACGAAGGACCTGGTACCAGTGCCCGTACTGGGATGTGCACCCGGTACAGGCACTTAGGACCTGGTACCAGCACCCGTACTGGGATGGAGGGCCAGTACCGGCACCCGTACTGGGATGTGGACCCAGTACAGGCACTTAGGACCTGGTACCAGTGCCTGTACTGGGATGGAGGGCCGGTACCGGCACTTAGGACCTGTACCAGCATCCGTACTGGGATGTGCACCCGGTACTGGCATGAAGGACCTGGTACCAGCACCCGTAGTGGAATGGTGATCCCATAAAAGCACCCATACCGGGATGGGGAGCTGGTACTGGCATGGAGCATCCTGTACTGGGATGGGAGGTCCCATACTGGGACAGGGGACCCATACCAGTATCTATCCCGGCATCTGGACCCAGTACCAGGACGAGGGACCTGTACCAGCAGCCGTACTGGGGTGGGGAGTCCCAGACCCATACTGGGTTGGGATGTCCTATACTGCGATGGGAGGTCCCGTTCCAGTACCTGTACTGGGATGGGGACCCCATACGGGAATGGGTCATCCTGTACCCGAATGGGGGACCCCATGTTGGCACCTGTACTGGGATGAGGGTCCAGTACTGGAGTGGAGATCCTGTGCAGGCATCCATGCTGGGAGGGGAGCCCAGAACCAGGACCTGTTCTGTCATGGGGTCCTGCACTGGGGTGGGGGTCCCACACCAGCACCCGTACTGGGGTTTGATCCTGGGAGCAGGGTGCCGTGTTCGTACCTGTACCAGGATGGAGAAACCCAGACTGGGACGGGGGTCTGGGACTGGAATTGGGGTCCCAGGCTGGGGGTCCCACACTGGCACCCGCACCGAGGAGAGACGGGGGGTCCCACACGGGTGTCTGTACCTGGCAAGGGATGGGGGAGACCTGGGGACCCCTCACTAGGAGGGTGTTGGACAGCCCTGTGCAAGGGCACCCGGGACCCCCC